ATAGTCAATTATATTATAGCTAAGTCGTAAGGACGAAATATTTAATGAGGTGCAGGTGAGAGATTGGAAGATAGTAAATAAGTTTAAATGATCTTATTTCAACCGTAATTAATTTAGTCTTTCACAACAGTGATATGATTTAACAAAAATAATAAGCGGAAGAAAAGACAAAACAACAGAAATATTTCAAACCCAGCTCTCCACTCAAAATTTGTAATAGACACAAGACTTTATAAAAAGTAATGAAATAAACATAAAATTTTACCTTAATCAACTCTTTCAGCCTATCTGAAATTGTAACAGCACCGGATTCATCTATCGCAGCCATGTCTCCCGTTCTCAGCCAGCCATCATCTAAGAAAACCTGATTGTTGGCCTCCTCGTTTTCTTTGTAACCCTTCATTACATTCGGACCTTTTATGAGTAATTCACCCACCTGATGAATTTAATACAATGCTAGATAATATTCATTTTAATATTTTTTATGTTCGAGCATTATTGCAACCTGACTTGGAAGCCTTGTTTTCATTATTATCCCTTATACCGTCTATGAAGGGGAGGTCCATTGCCTTTTCGGCCATTTTTCTATGCGAAAAATTGTCGCCCAAGGACATCTGTTATACCCGAGGGTTCCAGATGCGTTGACAACCTTTTGAAAAATTAGGCTCCGGATACCTCACTCGCCAGATCAGTGTATATATAGTGAGATAAGTATTATACTTCCATTTCACGCCGGTCGTCTGTGAGGTCGTGGACCACACAGAAGACCGCTCGTTTGGTTGAGTACCCGGCCGAGCCTGCCCATTCGTGCAACAGCCGAGGCAGCTGCGTGGCTCTACCATAAATGATTCGTTCTGTTACCAAACATTTGTATTGGCACGAATTTTGGTTTATTTTTTGTATTAAAATTACGATGATAATAGTAGACCATCGGAAAAATTGAAAAGGGAAGGTGTTTTAACTCTGGGATCTGTAATTTTTAGTATAAGTATTTGTTACATATTGTGTGAAGTAGTTTTAATAACAACTAAACGTAATGCAAGCAAAACTAGTTTTCATCCTTACCTCATTCGGGCCAAGATTATTTAAATGTTCATCAATTATCCTTAATTCAACATTTGGAATACCAAATCCCACTTTAGAATATTCTTTGTAACCAAGAGGACTGGCAGTTGCGAGAGGGCCTGTCTCCGTTAGGCCATAGACTTGACATAAGTGAGTATTAGCCTAAAACATGAAAAAAGGTGTGTATTTATGTATGTACACATACGCACGTAATAAGTTACAGGTACTTCTTTAGCGTAATAAAAGAAAAATAACGGAAAATTTTCTCGCTTTAGCTAGTACTCTTTTTTTTTTCGTGAACAAGACATTAAATGCAGTTGATAACGGTTTAATTAAAAACGTTGGAATTGTAGGTGTATGTCAAAAAGTTGTTATTGGTAATACCGTCGCTTTGCAACCAACTTCAACATGTCGCTTTTTCGTCGATTTTTTTGACGGAGCGCGCGCACATCCTAAAAATTTTCTTCTCATAATACATACATAGAAATGTTTGAAGAATGTACTTTCATGACCCCTAAAATCATAATTGTAAATTATTGATACTGTTTCGGCTGGTTTGGTAGTCTTGTGGACAAAGGCCTCATTCGGAGACTTGAATGACGTGTTGCGCAACACGTCGTTCGCCCTATTCATCGGTTGAAAGGCGGTGGCGTAACATCTCTTGGAACTAGTTTCCATTTTACTATAATTATTGTCCCGACATTTGATTCCTTGTGCTTGAAAGTTAATTGCGGCGGTCCCAGTAATAAAGCAGTGCTGATTCGTCCGGCTGTGCAAGGAACGAAGGCGGCTCGACAATAACGGTTGAAGGTGAGTGTGTAGTGTGGTGATAGTGAAGTGAAAATCCAGACCAGCTCCACTGTCTATCGAAGGTCACCCCAACCGATATAACATTGCAAAAATCAATATTACTCCTAGAAAACTAAACATTTACACTTCATTCATCACTGAAAACTGATTTAAGAAGTATCTTACATTTGCTTTCTCCAAAAACCTTTCAATGTCAGCCGTTGGCAACGGAGCACCACCACATGACACGCATCTTAAATTTTCAAAGTGTTTTGTTTGCACTTGCGGATGTGACCCCAAAAAGAGGACTGGAAAATAACATCAATACATCACATAACAGCTTAAAAGAATTGAAGAAACAAACAGAAAAGGATGTCTTTGTTTCATCATGAAAAACTGACAGAACTTGTGACATCACCAACTCTAAAAATATACGATAGTATAATTGATTAAAAAGTTTAAGGTAGGCCTTAAAAACTGGATGTTAAAAAAATGTAAGTTTAAGTTACAGCCTATACAAGTCCCATTACTGAGCAAAGGCTTCTATCCAAAGGGTATTATAGCGTACCTATTCCACCACGCTACCTTACTGTGAATTGGCGGACATCACATATATTTGAAATATTTCTTTGTTTTTAATTCGAAAATACGCCGTTTTCCTCGCCTCCGCTGAGGACGTTAAGACACAGCACTTAAAATCAACAATTTTATTGGTGCTAGAACGGGATTTGAACTCAGGTTACTCAAGTATGTTAAATTTAAAGCGAGCGTCCGGACACTGATCTATATCGGATCTTTTACTTTAATAAGTAAAGTAAAATAACAGCCTATATATATCCCACTGCTGGGTAGAGGCCTCCTCTATACAGAGGTACGGTTACTTTAATTTTTACTTAATTTAATCTCAGTATAACTACACAACACCTAGTACACACACAGCATATCATCATTACTAATATTATAAAGGTGAAAGTTTGTATGTATGGATGGATATTTGTTACTCTTTCACGCAAATACTACTTAATGGTTTTAATGAAACTTTACAATAATATAGCTCATACATCAGAATAAGACAGGCTATAATTTATATAGATATTTTTATTTATCATATTTGTCTTTCTGTCTGAATGTTACGCCTTCAGCCTATTCTACGCAAACGTAGTCGCAGGCAGCAACTAGTACAAAATAAAACATACACAATAATATTAATATAATTAATCGTAATATTAATGACGAACCGATTCTGCTGACAGTTTTTAAGCATACTTTTAATAGTTCTTTTACTACAATGGCATCGTAATGATAAGTAAGCAAGAATTATCATTGAAATAATTATCTTTTATTGATGCAGATTTTTCTCGAATTGTAGCTGCTACATGTGATAAGGCTAATAACTGATATGAATTTTATGAAGGTCATCTTAAGTTTTTATTCTTCAGAAATTCCGCTCATGAATACAGTTCGATTTTTTCAATTCAATTAAATAGGTAATATTTTCATTTAATATAGTTTTAACTCAAGAAATCGAGACTCAAAAATGTTTGAAAAATGTTGACAGTACATAGAAACATGGTAATTATTAAGCTTCAACTGTCTCTTAGTATTCACTTTTATAATATTAGGAGACAGACAGGAAAGATGATTATCACGTTATCTGCAGCATGGACCATTTTTGACCTCATTCAACGTACAAACTTAAAGATATAAAAACGATAAAGGAGCAGTTTTCAGTCTAGTTTTATATGATGACATTGATAAATGACATTGTAAAATGTCTCGACTTTTGCTGTCTTTACTTATTTACCTGTCGGAGGTGCAAAGTAGAATAGGTGGAAGTTGTACTTTTCTAATATATTGATGAAAGTCTCAGGCTTGAATTTTGGCAAAGTGACAAGCTTCAAGCCGACACTTAGTTTGTGTAGGGTCACAATTGATAAACCGTAGGAGTGAAACATTGGTATCGAAACTAGCACATTATCTTGGTGCGAACCTGTAAATATACATGTAACATTAAGATAAAGTAATATGACAAATATTAAGAATTAGGAAGCGACTGTTTAGTGTCGTGTGAAGGGATGGTTTGTCGTCACTACCTGGACAATAATAATAATAATTATCTATTAAAAAAGCGATAATTTCTATTTATTAAGTTACCTGTGGTATCCATGTATTGTTTAATTTCAGTATTTTGTTGTTCGGCATTAGCTATAATATTGTAATTTGTAAGTTCAACACCTTTAGGTAGTCCTGTAGTGCCACTCGAATAAGGCAAAAATGCAACATCATCTGCAGTTCTTTTAACCTCTCTTAATATGCTGATATCAACATGATCATCTTCAATTATTTCCTTAAATGATATAGTTCCCTTCGGAAGAGGACTTTCCAGATTGATGACAATAATAGGAATCTTCATTTTGCATAATTCTAATGCTTGTTTAACTGTAGGAACAATCTCTGTGGCGGCAATAATTAACTTCGTGTGAGACATATTAATTTGCCTCTGGACTTCATCTGTAAAAAAAAGTATAATGTGACATTTTTAAACCATTTTAATTTATTATCATTTAAAATAAAGATTTACCAGAAATGTATTATGTTGTATTAATAAATAAAAGGGTATTGTAAGTATTGTTATAACATAATTCAATTCCTCGCTCCCTCTTCCAAAATCGGATGTTTCGAAAGTTCCGGACCCTTAAAATTTTCGTATTTCATATTTAACTCATTCGAATAAAGGGACATGTCACAAGGGCATGCCTTCAAAACAAGTCACCAGACTTCTAATGAACTAGTACTTGCCACATAGTTTTTCATGTTCGGGCCATGCAATAGTTTTCGCTGTTGCACGAATAGACCGATCCGTTTGGCGAAGTTCCACGACCTCATAAAATACTGGCGTGAAGTGGAAGTTTTACACTTCTGCGTTTCGTCTAGTGAGTGAGGTAGCCGGGGCCCACTGTATTTAAAGTGGGAAAGTATCTGCAACCCTACAGATGTTGCAAATATCAATGGGTGGCGGTTATCACTTAACATCATGTGAACCGCCAACTCGCTTGCCACCTTCTCACATAAAAAAAACTTTTTACGAACAGGTAAGACTGTTGTACAGCACTCCAACTGTTAGTATTAAAGAGTTATTCTGCATAAAGTACTTATCAATCTTAAAGCATTCTGATTGCAAGAAATGACAATGGTACAAATTATAATGTAACACCTACTCACACGGAGTGTAATTTGGATTCAAAGTGGTGACCAAACCCCCAGCATTTAGTATGCCAAAAATCGCCGTTGGATATTCAGGTAAATTGGGCAACATAATAGCCACAACGTCACCATTTTCTATTCTAAATTTCTTCCTCAAGACTGCTCCTAGAACTTGTGACTGTCTATAGATTTGCTCATACGTATATTGTCTGCCTGTAATACCGCACACCTATGAGGAATGGAAATGAAATATTACCATTTCTTTAAATATGATAGACGTTAACACAAGGCAGCTGATGTAACAAGTTTGCAAATTACACATCTATCATTAAAAAAATAGCAAACTAAAAATTGTTTTACGAGGTATCATATCAATGATAACACGTTGTATGCTATTGTTATTTTTGTATTAACAATCATAATTAAATGAATAATTCGGTCACATGTAAGACTTTCTGCATTATTTTTAAGTTTTTTATTACAAGTTTTGGGATTGAAAAAACGATGTAAAAACTATTACCGCCTCAGTTTCATCAAGATCGTTAAGTGTAAATACTTTTACACATTAATTACTATATACTATTAGGAAACTAATTTTTAAAACTAATTAATTTTTGTACATTATACTTTGAACATCAAAATCAATTATTATAAACGAAGGTCAACACACACACACACACAACTATCTTATTATTTTGTATGGTGCGGAAAATTTTTACGGTGGTAGGGCCACGCAGCAACCTCGGCTGTTGCACGAATGGGCAGGACCGTCCGGTTAAGTATCACGACCTCACAGAAGACCAGTGTCAAGTGGAAGTATGACAAATACGGTCGCGTTTCGTCTGGTGAGTGAGGTAGCCGGAGTCCAATTTTCAAAACGTTGTCAACGCATCTGTAACCCTCGGGTGTGGCAGATGTCCATGGGCGGCGGTATTCACTTAACATCAGATGAACCGTATGCTCGTTTGACAACTTTTCGCATAAAAAAACAATTTAATGCATTGAAACACATATTTTTTCAAGAGTAATTGTTTTGAAATATATCAATGATCAAATATGAAAGGAGTCGATTAAATAAATTCAATTTACCGTAGCAGTCTTTGTGGGCCATTTATCCAAATTCTTCCACACATATTCCACGAAAGTCGCCTTCGGTATTTCGATGTCCTTAAACGGTGATTTAACTATATTTTCACTAGTCCACGCGTGACTTTCCCTCACTCCAGTACTTATTGAGCCTCCGCAAGCTCGCTTGCAGACGTTATTTAGAATCGTTGTTAATTTCAGCATAGTTGCGAACAAAATAAAATTTATTGAAATGAAACGTAGGTATTATACAAACACAATATCGGCTTATTTTAGACCGAAAAAATTATTTTGAATAAATAAACAATAATACGCAGCGGAATTGATGTTTTCACGTTCGGAACGGATTTTGCTCCTACCGTGTCGCTAATTGAATAGCAAATTATCTGTACTATTTTCAGACTGTTTCAATCACTACTAAATTGATTACCTTTATACATATATACAGGGGGCGTTTCTAAGTATATCCATTTTTTTTATTAAATTCTAGACATAAAAAAAATAAAAAAATGATAAACATTGAAAATCACTCGTAATTAATTAATTACATTCATTTGAACTTATCTCAAAAAGTGTGTGATTTATGGGCAACTCATTTATTTTACGCGCGATCATTAATAACTAGCACGCACACAAGTTCGTTTCAAAAGTATCATTTAAGAATGACTACCGCATTGTCAACAAATTCTGTTTTTTAGGGAATAGAATGGCAATTTTTTGAAAAAAAAAAGTTTGTTATTATTTCAAAAAGCGATTATACTGCAGAGTGTATACCTCCTGTGTGAATTTGGGTACCTTTAGAAAAGCCACTCTGTATAATTCTTCTGTCTACTTGTATGTTTCTGAACCGCTCCTAAACGTCTGGACCGATTTTAATGAAATTTTTTGTGTCTCTTTGGTTGGATTCGAAAATGGTTTAGATTCACAAACTTATTCAGTTAAGTTTGAAGTTTTTTTTTCTTTTTTTTTTTAAACATTGCGTTTTACAAACATAAATTTCACCCAAATCCGAAATAACTATCTGTGGGTCACACAAATAGTTGTTTCGTGTGGGAATCGAACGCTCGACGCCGAAGCCAATACCTTGGCAGCTACGCCACGGAGTCATCATAAGTTCAGAGTTTTTGGATTTAGGACGTGTGTCCAGGACATCTGTCAGGTCCCCTTGTTGATTATAATATTTTGTTAAGTAAGTGTATTTAATGCATTGGAAGGACTTGCACATCTTTTCATCTGTTTTAAGCATTAAATTATTGACATTTAATTGAAGCACAAATACCAAAATAAATTGATTAACGGTATAAAATAATAACAAATAATACAAGTAAATGAATGTGATAAATTATTGTAGCATTAATTTCTTGGAAACAGGTGCAATCGGCCTTCATTCAGATCATCAGATAAAATCATTAAATCTTTATAAATTTAATGAGTTCCTGCAGACGACATGATGCTGTTTTTCGGATAATATCACAGCAATATAAACTGCAGAAGTCATATTTGAGTTCATTTCTATGTTCGAAATTAGTGCCAGTAAATAATACGTAATAAAGTTAAAAATAATCAATGAACTCCCAATACACTACGGTGTAAAAGGAGTCATATTTTATTAATAGTCATAAAGTTAATATTACATAAGATACCGGTAGGTATATAACATGATAACGTTCAATTTATCTCGTTCCAAGTTTTAATGAATCGTGGAAATGGTTGAAAAGTAACATTTGCTAATTTATCGTTCTTGTTTAAATAACAGAGTGTAACACTCTTCCATCAAAATCATATTGCACCATCAGAAATGATGGAAGGTAATATCACCGTAAGTCACAATCTCTACGAATGGGTTCTGCGTACACTTACAAAATTGTATCGACTTAGTTGTTAATTAGTTTGCTTGAAACATAGAAGTTAAGGTGAATGTTGCTATCTATGATGTCCATAAGGAGCATGAACATACACATGGATTGTCCAACATTCACATAAGATCCAACTTGTTCCAAAAGGAAGGTTCGAATTTGTAAGCATGACCGCAAATATTTCATTTTCTGAATGAAGAACGAACGAAGAAAGAATGAACATTTGCCGTTAGGATATTAAGATTGAAAGGGATGTCCTGACGCACAGTTCCAGTACCTCATTAGTGTTAGAGTGGATTCTTCCGCTCTCTTCGCAATATAGCAATCTTTAAAAATAAAGCGTTTGAAACATCATAGTAGAGATTATTTCAAAGCCACCACCATCATTGCTAACGGATGGAGCTATACCTCGGTCACCTCATTCGTAGAACTTAATTCACAAATTGTAAATCTACATTATGGCATTTCTTTGTAGGCTAAGCTACTTTCGCCGTTTGTGCCGATACAACAACAGAAACTGACAAGTATCTCTGCGTGAAAAAATGCCGCCTCGAGAAAAATTATTCATTAAATTATTCTTCGATTTTAAATCGAGACATTCACTCTCATTTTAAATTTATTTACAAAACCTTGGCGTAGTTATTTTTATCTATAGGTGTTTAATCATTTTAAAGAGCACAAACTCTGTAACTTCTTAGCTACTGAAGGATAAAGAAATGTATTTAAAAACCGGCCAAGTACGAGTCGGACTTGCGCCTGAAGGGTTCCGTAACATCGTCTAGTATGTAATTGCATTTGTATATTTGTATGCGCACCCATACACAATGGGGACACCCTTTCATTTTCGACTTTTTTCTGTTTTGGTGTCCTTTATTTGCGCTATAAGAACTTGCTTTTTGCCAAATTTCGTTATTCTAGGTCAATGGGAACTACCATATGGATTTTTGACCCGAAACATATAGGGTACTTTCAATTAACCTAGAATTGTCAATTTCGGTAAAAGCTAGGTCTTACAGCACAATTGAATCACCTAAATAGCATGTAGCTCTAAACGATCATTGCATATTCCGTATATTCCTGTGCCATTGGGCAATTCAGTTATGTGAAATAGCCGTGTAATAGAATTCAATCCACGCCGATATATCAAAATTGCATTGGCCACTTCTGACATATGTATATCCAATATTCGAATATATTTTGGCACGTATATTCTACTTCAAAATCTTCAAAAATAGGTATACTAAACAAAAAGCATATAATGTACTTAACGTACAAAGACACATCGTTTTGGGTTTATTCTTTATTTTAAGACATTTTTCGCTATAGGATAAGTTATATACACACACATTATCAAGATTCAGGATTTTTTTTTTTCTTTTAAAAATTTGGCATTGACAACAAAAGGGATCACCCGTCGGTGCGATTATACCGAGCGGCTTCACTTTTTTAAGATGTATACTCTTAACAATCGTCATAAAATGCATGACGTGGTTTTTCTGCACAAACTGTTAAATAACTCGATAAATTGCCCCGACGCTCTTCAAAACATTTCACTAGCTGTACCTCACAAATTTCCACGCAAACCGATTACAAAAATCTTTCATACACCGACCGTAAAAACTAATCTTGGCCTCAATTCACCTTTTGTACGTATGTATTCTTAACGATTCCCCTGATGTTTATAAAAAGAAAGTACTGGAGTAATTTCATTAGTATATATTATAGTATAGTATTCTTTAAAGTGAATTTATTTTTTAATTTATTTTTGATTCTTTTTTGATAGTCTATCCTTTGTATTAAATTTTTTATGAATTAGTTTTTTTTGTTTATTAAACTTTGTCACAATATTGTAAATGTTGTACACACCTGTTATAGGTGTACATATTAGGTCCAATGTTTTCTTATTTTTTCCTTTTTTTTAAGTTGTGTAAATATGTATACTGTTGGTGTGTCTTAAATAAAAAATAAATTGTATCCCGAATTTTAGTCACCGAAGCTAATCATTATGTAACAGCACCATCTAAGCCGCGAAATATTATTAGTATCGTTATTACGGTGGTAGGGCCACGCACCAGCCTCGGCTGTTGCACGAATGGGCGGGCCCGTCCGGGTAAGTACCTCGACCTCACAGAAGACCAGCGTAAAGTGGAAGTATGACAAATACTTTCGCGTTTCGTCTGGCGAGTGAGGTGGCCGGAGCCCAATTTTCAAAAGGTTGTCAACGCATCAGTAACCCTCGAGAGTGGCAGATGTCCATGGGCGGCGGTATTCACTTAACATCAGGTGAACCGTCTGCTCGTTTGACATCTGTTCGCATAAAAAAAATATCTGAATTAATATATAAAGTAATAAATTTTATATCATTACGGAATAAAATAGATACAACAATTTATTTATTTATTTATTCTTTATGCACACATATTTTAATAACCTAATGCCAAGTGTATAAAAAAATATTTATTTTTAAAATACCTTAATACCGTTTAAAAACGAGGTGGTTTTCTTTCCATAATTTTTAATTTAAATAAAAAGCAGTAATTGTAGCATAGTAATCTTTTAGTAATATAACGTGAAAATACCCATTGCTTCATGGATGAGAACAATTGCGATGTACGACAAAGTTATTAAATCAATTGAACACAACTATAGATGGATTAACTTAACAACAGAACTTAGAAACAGAGAGTCCTAGTGTAGTTTCGTAAACGCATCTTGTGGAAATGTACTCTCAATACATTTTCACACATTTTCCCGCTATATATAAGCTTAACGTTAATAAAGTAAAAAAACAGTAAATCAAAGCATTTAAAAGTGCAGTAAATAAATTATTTGCTGCTGACACTGGTATTTAACTCTGATTACTCAAATATACTGATGTTTTAAAAGGCACATGACCAGGCTACTAGTCAATAAAGGTAACATTAGATTAAATAATTTTTAACCATTATATCCAAAACCCGGAGTTAAACTACTAACATCCTATCTTATACTTAATATATAAACGTTTATTTCAATATTTTAAAGGAGAGATCCTTGAACTTAATGATATGTTTTCAATTCAACTTCTGATGTATAAACGTATTAAACGATACACTAAATAACCTCATATACTTTCTACATAATATTTCTAGTGTTATGCGTAAAGAAATAACTAAAACGTTTTCTTTTAAGAATTTCAAACTAGTCTCAATTAAAACCTAATCAAAGACAATTATCACAGATCTTCTTTATAATTATTTCCTAATAGAGGTGTTTGCTTGGTATCCAAGCAAATACCTATATTATAAATAACTGTTTGTTTGAATCTTGAATTGAAATCGAAATTCTTCTATTGATTTCCTTTACCAATATGTCCAGTATAATGTAAAACGATACTCGTAGAAGCTAAAAGTCGAAAATATTATAGTTGTTTTAACAGTATTTTTCTTTTAAATCCTTCCTTAAAATTTTACCCGCCGAGCTTTTTGGTATGCTATCTAGGAATGTGATGTCGTCTATCCTCTTGTAAGCGGCAACCTTGTTTCTGACAAACTCACTAATTTCCTTGGCGCTTGTTTTACAACCGGAATTTAAGACGACGAATGCCTTTGGGGCCTCCCCGTTTGTAGGATGGGGCACGCCGACCACTGCCGCATCTCTTACGTCTGGGTGTTCCCGTAGTACTGCTTCGAGTTCTGCTGGAGGCACTTGATAACCCTTCACCTGGAGTTTAAAAGTATTTTATATGTTTTAGGAAGTTGATATGCATGTTGAAGCATGAAAAGCAATGTTGGATTATAGAACAGCGTTGCAAGGCTAAGACATCCTAATAACTATTTAATGAAAGTAAATAAGATAAGAATTATTAAGTAAATATATGTTTTAACGACAAATTCTTTATTTCGCACTCGAATCGGTCGAATCAAGAAAATGTGTACAGTTGAGCGGATGACCACGTGCTTGGTCTCTCAAGCTGCCACGCGGTCGTGGCACGTCCCCGGATGGACCTGCCCATTCGTGCGAAGACTGCTGCGTGGCCCTACCACAGTGGTGATGAGAAATTTGAATATCGGAAATCGAGGTGGAAAGAGGAATAACTAAAATATTTAGTACATTTAGTATTCACAGCCAATAAAGAGTTTAAAATTTACTTATGTTTCTTTTAATTAATTATTTTTATAATTGTTGTTTTGTTTACTTATCAATGTAAAACATAATGTGAAGGTTAAATGTTCTTAGCTTATTAAATCACATGAGATCTACCTAAGTTGTTTTCATAGTTAACTTATCAAGTAATATTCTCGGAACTCTTGAATATTAATTTTGCCAAAAGCTCGTTAAGCACTGTCAATAAAAAATATATTTTCGCGTCATTATTCAACAGAACTGTGTTTGTCAAGATTGAAGATTTGCTCATATTCATCTAAAATCTTTAGCAGTTAATTCTAATTCATAAAATATAAAATCATTAAACAAAATTTTGAAAATTCTACTATTCGATTCACAAAACCACCTTGATCAGCTCCTTCAGTCTGTCGGATATAGTGATAATACCGGAATCGTCGGCCACTACCAAATCTCCAGTTCTGAACCATCCATCTGCAGTAAACGCTTCAGCATTTGCTTGAGGATTGTTCCTGTATCCCCGCATCACTTGGGGTCCCCTGGCAAGCAACTCTCCCTTCTGTTGACGAGTTATTCAGAACTAGTACTGTGTATATGAGTATCCAAAGAGCCAAATTAAGATGACCCAATTAATATTTATCACAAATTGTTAGTAATCGTTGCACAAGTGCGTCAATAGACAATAAAAGGTATAAGTAAGGAGGAAAAAGATTTATCTTTCTTCTTTTTTATTAAAATAAAAAAGAAATGGCATAATGAGCATTTATATTGCCACTTAGGTCATGTAAATGAACGCTCTCCAGTGTCTGACAACTGCAATTTCAACGGTTCTTCCTTACGGTTACGGTTAACCTTTTAATCGTCATTCATTTGATTATACGTTTAAACTTTGTCACAGGATAACACTAAAATACGACTTTTATTAATTACACCAAAAATTATGATTTTTTTTATGAGAGTGGCAGGCGAGCTGGCAGTTCATCTGATATTAAGTGATAACCGCCGCCCATGCACATTTGCAACACCCGTAGAGTTGTAGATGTTGCGTTGCCACCTTCTAATAAAGTGGGCACCGGCTACCTCACTCACCAGATGAAGCACAGAAGTATAACACTTCCACTTCAAACCGATCTTCTATGAGGTCGCGGTAATTAGCCGGACGGACCTGCCCATTCGTGCAACAGCAAACACTATTGCGTGGCCATTAATTTTGATAGGAATCATTTTAAGCCTTTAATTGAAATCAAATTATTTGGTTAACTATAAATGAACATGTTCGTTTTACTCACTTCATTGGGTCCCAAAGATTTCATTTCGTTATTAACAATTTTTAGTTCCGTACTGGGTATCGGATACCCAATGCATCCGTAATTTTCTAGTCCTCTGGGTGTCATTGTTAAAACAGGTGAAGTCTCCGTTAGCCCGTATCCTTGTCGAAAGTCCAGTTTCCGCTAAAAGTACCATTGTTGGAAAAGTTATTTTTAAAGTAAATGAAGAAAATATATTTAAGAATAAACAATTATAGGAAAGTTTGTGGGACAGCGGCCAGCGGCCATTATTATATTTAAATAATTCTGTAACCTTAAAAAGTCTAGAAAAATCTGCATATATAAATATAAACATTTTTTTAGTTTTAATATAATTTTAGGAAATTAAAATCCACAAATCGACCTCGCGCTCATCACTGCTCCTTTCTTTTCGGACAAAAATATCGGCCAAATGACTATTCGCCGCGAAATAACTATCATTTTTTCGAGGCGAATAGACCAATAGGTGGCTTTTGTGAATAGATTTTAACCCTGAGAAAATCTTAGCTATAAATTTCTGTGGGCTTTCCCGATCTCACTGGATGACTAATTCCTTGGGAGAAGGGTGTCAAAATCAACTCACGTCGAAGATTATCCTAACAGAACTGTGGTTGGATCAGGCTGACTAACAATAATTTGAAGATAACTTATAGATAGAAGATAGATCTTAGATAACATAAAAAATAAACAACCAAATTGAGAACCACCTCCCTTTTTTAGGTTGGTTGAAAATGCATTCACTCATATTGTAATCAGTGTAGGAAATGGCGATTGAGGTCTCCAGACATTACCGTATCACTGTCGAGATATAATCAAACGGGTTCGAAAGAGCTCGTAAAAACTCGGAAATTCCTCACAATCCTCTGAAGGTTAGAACAATACAGCTACTACTAACCGAACCCTAACGCTAACTTTCACAAACGTCGTCCACGTAACGTTGTCATCGATACCGTCAATGAAGGAGACTAAAGCGAAACCCTATGTATGGCTAGGTATGCCAAGAGCTTTGAGTTTGATCAAACTTTAATAGTATACGGGCTGCGAACGAGAATATCACTCATATAAAAATAAAACTGTTTTAATTCCAAAAGGATGCCAACTGGGCAAGTGCTTCTAAGGGTGAAAATAACTGCCGCTCGTGGACACTCACAACACAAGAAAGACCAGGCGTTGCAGGCGAAACCGGCCGTGGTCTTTACCGAGTTGATTTGCTCTATTTGTTTATCAGATGTTATGCACGAGGTTCATCACGGATAAATAACTTGGTGATGAAATATTCTTTCAAATATAAATTTACCTTACATTTGGTGAAAAACTTTTCCGCATCGGTTTGTGCCAACGGTGCAGCGCCATTTATGATGGTTTCCAAATACTGAAATTTCTCTGATGAACCCGCTGGATGTGTTGCCATCATAATCACTAAAATCGAAATTGCGATTGATTAAAGCGAGTGGATCAAAGATTTAATGAAAGAAGGTATTAGAGCATATGACAGGCAGGTAATTCAAACCACATTGACTATTTATTCGTCGACTATGCCCTCTCGATACATGTTATACGCTAAGTCGTAACACTGTTTGCTGTTTCATGAATGGGAAAGCTTGTGCGGTGAAATACCACAGCCTCACAGATAACCGGCACAAAGTGTTAATAATTTTGGGTGTATAGTGGTAAAACGAAATGAAAACGGCTATTTCAGTATGAGTTATTGACTGTCACATTTGAGAGAAAAAGTGGCAAACGAGCCGGTGGTTCACCTGATGTTAAGTGATAACCGCCGCCCATGGACAGTTGCAATACCCGTGGAGTTGCAGATGCGTGGATTGTCACCAGACGAAATGCAGAAGTGTAACACTTCTACTTCACGCCGGTCTTCTGTGAGGTCGTGGTACTAACCTGGTCGCAGAAATAAAAATACCATCGAAGGGATTCATAAATCAGACTGATGTTTGTGTCGAGGACAATAATTTTAAAAATTTGTAGTATTGACTTATATGTGCCATACATACGTCCTAACAGCATGGCGTTGTTTTATGGAACAGAATGTCTTGTTAAATAATAAAAAACCATAAAATTTAAATGGCATTAGAGACACCTTTAGAGGATGTTTATGGTTCAAGTTTTTAAGTTACCCATTGGTGGTGCAACAAACAGGAGATTCGTCTTATGTTTTTCGAGAGCATCGAAGAATGCTTCCGGCTGAAACTTCGCCAACGTCACCAACTTTATGCCGTGTGCCATCTTGTGGAACATCAGCACTGAGGCACCGTAAATATGGAACAGAGGCAGCACTGTCATCACTGCGTCCTGATGCGTGTCTGAAAAGTATTATTAATAATTATTTCAACCAAGACATTACAACCGTATCAACAACGCATATGATACGTAAAGTAGTGGTAATTTGTTAAAAATTGTATTTTATATGTGTTTGAAGTTGAATGTAGATAGTTTGTGTCCACGGTTTTCAAGTTCTCCTCTTCTTTCTCCTGTAATAAAGGATATTTTGTAGAACAGTAGTCGGATTTATACAGAAACAGGAATAAAATTCAGTTAAAATAGTCATGCCCACACCATTATTGATATCATAAATGTTTTTCATAGAATTAACTGATTATAAATGGGAAGATTCATGCGAGGAAGTAACACGACCTGACAGGAGACGACGAGGGCGACTATTTTTTAACCGACTTCAAAAAATGTATTAACAATGTTTTTTAGTTTCCGGTTTGAAGTCGATTTCTTTTTACTATCAATAATAATGCTTAATTGAATTTAATAATGCTTATTTAATTCTCAGGTTTTTAGATATCAATAGTTACGTTATTCCCTTAACATCTGTGGAACCGCCTGAAAATTCTTCACATTAAAAAGTACTTCAATGTTTACTTACCAGTTGTCTCGTTATGGCATTTAATCAAAGGCTCGTTGATCTGTTCACAATTGGCAATGAGGTTTTTACTGCTCAGCTCCACGCCTTTTGGCAGGCCAGTGGTACCGCTGGAGTAAGGGAGAAAACAGATATCGTCGACGTCCCTTCTCACTTCTTTCAGACATGACTTGTCGATGTGCACGTCTTCCGTTAGTTCGTTGAAAGCAACGGTGCCCTCCGGTATAGCGTCGCCATTAGTTCTAACGCTTATGATGGGAATATTCAACTTTGCCAATCTTAACGCTTCTTTAACAACATTCACCGTTTCGGACAGAGTCACGATGGATTTGGCATTGCACATGATCAGTTGTCGTTGCACTTCGTCTGAAAAGATTTTATCTCATTGGTTTTCATTAAAATTTCCATGTCTTCAAATCGAAAACGTCGAAACAATAAGTATATAAGAAGCAACGACGATAAAATCAGCAAAATTCTAATTAAACAAAATAATTATGAACGCATTGAACCATATCATTAAACACATGTAATAAAACAAATTATTTGGATTAGATTACGTTCATTATTCTTTCAGTAAATGACAGTAATTTGCATAAAATAAAAAAGTAGAGTTCATATAAAGGCCAAATAACTTCAGTATAGAGACACATTTTTTTATCTTAGAAGGTGGCAAGTGAGCTGACCATTGACCTGATATCCATCGCCCGTTACACTATATCATAAAATTACAGATGCGTTGTCACCTTTTAACAAAGTTTACTCGTATTATCTCACTCACTAGATGGAGCGGAAATATAATATTTCCACTTTACGCCGGTCTTCTGTGAGGTCGTGGTACTTACCCGGACGGACACGCGCATTCATGTAACAGCGAAGACTGTTGCCTGATTCTACCACATTTAAAATATTATTTGTAGATCGAGATCAAGCCGCCAATTACCATTACCACCTTGATGCTTGGCGGTCCACCACTGTGCGTTTTTCACGTAATTTTCTGCTCCTAGCTACTTTATGGAACCAATTGTCGCCAGCGGTATTTCCGGACCGATACGGCTTAGGGACGTTCAAGAAGAAAGCCTACTCCTACCTTAAAATCTGGCAACGCATTTGTGACGCATTGCGAGTTTCCATGGGCTGCGGAGATCGCTTATCATAAGGTCCTTTATCCATTAAAAGAAAAATCGAGAGACTTACGAGCAGTGTAAATAGGATTTATTGTGCTTACGATGCCCCCCGCCTCCATTATACCCAGGACCACCAACGGAAAGTCGGGGATATTGGGCAGCATAACAGCTACAGCATCACCATCTCGTATTTTCAGCTTTAGGCGGAGGCTTGCGGCGAAAGTATTGGATAGTTTAAACGCTTGCTCATAACTGTACCCTCTGCCAGTGGTAGCGCACACCTTAAAATTGGAACCGATTGTTTGGTAAAAAACGTGTCACAAATCAAATCAAATCAAAATATATTTATTATATTGAAACGTCAAAATTTTACATATAAATTAATACGTTCGGAAGTTACCACCGGTTCGAAAAGCAGTTTCTGTTGTGAAGAAACCGGCAAGAAACTCAACCAGTTGCTCTTTTTTAAAACGATAAGTTAACAATGTAATAGGACAGGTATGAGTCTTATTTTAGCCTGCGTGAGTATTAACAGAATTAACCCCACACATTGAGATCGTCTAGATCTAGACATTCTGCAATAGAATAATAATATGCTTCAGCCATAAGTTCACTTTTAATTTTGCGTTTAAATTGATGAAGTGGCAGACTTAATGCATCGACTGTGGGATTTTATTATATATGCGCACATTTTGCCCCATTAACGACCTATTTACTTTTTGTACACGAAACAATGGCCTAGTTAATTTGTCCTTATTTCTTTAATTTGTCCTTATTTCTAGTATTCAATTTATGTCTGATATTTTGCTGGTTCGTGTCCCTTTAGTTATAACTTCTAGACTATTCTATTTTAGAAGGAGAATTGCAAATTGATATACTTTTTACACGATATCTACAATTGAACTGCGACAAAAGGCCGATTCAGAACGGACTGCAGGTTTCAAAGTTCGATTGTGTCGGGTCGAATGATATGAAAACAACGTGCCGTGCGAACCGTTGTATTAAGGATCGCGTTTATTTGAAATTTAAATTCATGACCTACGTTGGACTTTAAATACTTAATGAAAGTTTGAATTTAAAAGTCATAAAAAAGTGTTGCATAGAATAATGCACACTGTTCACGCTTAAATTAATATGAATCTGTGATATATATATTATGTATATTTTTATGCATAAGCTAATAAAAAATATATGTCTACTTTTTCATTTAACAATGATTACGAATCTTAATTCTCACGCTATACTTCTCCGACTGGACACACAATTAAATTTCAACTATATGCCAAAAGTTTTGCATTAAATTTACAAAAACCAAGAAAACATAAAATTAAACAGAAATATGATTATGTAATTTCGATGAATTAAAACTTGTTATTTTCATACTGTCATATATCAGAGAGATAAGATAATGGTATTTCAACAACGTCTTAATGTTTTAAAAAGTTAGATAAAATACACAATACAAAGAAACTCAAAGTAAAAGCAAGCGCGCAAATTTTTTGCATCAATTATTGCCCGCCTATTTTGAATTTCGATTTGTTATTATTTGTACACAAATCTTAGTAGATTAAGTTAGTATAATAATAAAACTGCCTATTCTCCTCAAATTACATGACGTGTCGACAGATACAATGTAATAATTGGTTCAGTCAAAGTTTACTATTAATTCAAGTGATTGTGCAGAGCTTGTGTAAACACATATTCATCATATATTATAATATATAATAAATAACATATATTTCACATGCGAAAAAACATATATTTCAAAACATATTATTAACTACACTATCTATGGATAAAATTGTATTATAACTTTTGTGAAGTTAATAGAAATAATTATCGCTTATCCATAGGATATGTAATGTTACTGTGAATTGTAGTAATGATAAACATTATAAAATTCTAATTTGAAAGCGGAGGATAATACATTAATCGCAATTTCAATGTTGGATACAGGCCCACATGTATTATGGTACAGTTGGCCGTATACTGTGTGTATACTGTGATTTAGAGCACTGAGGCTACTAATAGTACTTTTAATACAATAAGTTTACTACTTCAATCATTAAATAAAACCTATAAATGAATATATGTTATAATATATGAATATATGACCTATGTTATACAATGCAAATTATCGCTTTTCAATAGTAATAATATAAATTAGTAACTTTCGTTAAAATTGGCATCAATTTTTAGGGCTCCGTAAAACGGGAACCTATTACTAAGATTTCGCTGTCTGTTTGATTCTCTGTTTGTCTGTCTGTCCGTCTGTCTTCAGGCTGTATCTCAGGAACTGTGATAGTAAGACAGTTAAAATTCTGTTGCCGCTATAACAAGAAGCTATTAAAAATAGAATAAAAATGTTTTTAAGCGGGGCTCCTATAAAACAGACAGTTTTTTTTTTTTTGCCGTTTTTATAGATAACGGTACGGAACCCTTTGGTGCGCGAGTCCGACTCGCACTTGGCTGTTTTTTTTTTTTTGAAACTCCGTCTACATCGCTAGTCGATTTACATAAATATTATCTTTAAAGATGCATCACACAGAATCTATATCGATCTCAATTCCGCTCACCGAAACAGTCCTCTGGGGCCACTTGTCCAAATTCTGCCACACGTATTCGAAGAGCGTGCAGCTCGGCACCTCGATTTCCTTGTACGGCGACTTTAACGTTCCCTCCTGGGTCCACGAGTTCAGCCTCCTTGCGAGCGCGCCGGAGCATTTCTCCAGCGCGTACACAGCTCTGTTCGCTGCTATCAAACTCCGCAACATCATTTTCAATTTGGATTTATTTCGTATCACTATTCCACTTGCGATTGTTCGCATTCATTCACAATACTGAAACTGTACGCCACTTCGGCACCGTCGCTCGTAACTGATTAAGCATATTAAAATAACTGTATTACTTGAACACGTTCTACCATTAGGCAATCTTATCGCACTAAAACACGATGGCTCAGCAGGGAAAAATCGTGTTATTATTTGTACACGATTTTTCCCTGCTGAGCCAATCAAAAATATAGAGTCATTCAACACCTCGTCCTGTTCGGAAACGCTTATCTTTCTTAATGGCTTAGAATAGGAGGAATCAGTACATAATAAAATATAACTTATTCTAAAATGAGCATACACAAATTATAATAAATTACAATAGGTATAATACGCACAATAACATTCTGTCGATAACCAGTAATATCAGTTTTGATGATTTTTAAGGTTTGTAATACTACAGTATCAACTTTAGCAAGCAGCGATAGTTAACAGCTACATAAGCTAAAAAGAGACATAGGCGCTGAGTCTGTCGTTCAACATCGGGAGCGAGATTTCAAAAACACGTAGTTATGTACATAAAGTGCAACCAGGCTCGGATATGGATCACATTCGAATCCCATGTGAGAATCCAACCTTTAACACGTGCAATAGCACTTGCTATGAATACTGCAGAGCCGTGATAGCTCAGTGTCCGGGCGCTCGCCTTTAATTTAATGTACTCGAGCAATCTGAGTTCCGGTACCAATGGATTGATTGATTTTAAGTGCTGACCTATCACATCCTCAGCGGAGGAAATCTGCATATTTTCTAGATAATGACAAAAAAAATATTTCGAAGATATGTGAAGTCCGCTAATCCGCAGTTGGGTCGCGTGGCCCTAATACCTTCTGTACAGAAGAGGCTTTTGCCCAGCAGTGGGATTGATATAGGCAGCTGCTTTAAAACATATCGGATGTGGACTATGCCCTGATACCCTCTATATAGAGGAGGCCTTTGCCCAGCAGTGGGACATGTATTTTACTTTTACAACATAATCCCAATGGTTTGTAGCTGTATCCTTACAACATAATTTTTTTAAATATTTGTTAAACAATGACCATTAGTCACAATCAGATTCGTGTGCATGTTGTTTAACAATGTGTCCTCGATTTGTGTCAGTTACCACAGTTTGTGCGTCTTGTGGGATCAAGGACTTGACTCTTCTAATCACTGTGGATGATGAATGGTAATTGAGAAATTAACACACATAAAAATCAATTGATAACGACGTGTGGTAATCCAATAAACGTTTAGATTATTTCAATTACAATGTAAGTGAATAATGAATTTGCGTTGCACTCAAGCTGTCGGATTATAAGTAAAAAATATAATAATATTAAGCAAATACCAAAACGCTATTTTTAGTTATTAATAAATGCGCCGTTCAAAATGAATAGTACCTAAATAGTTCAGTTAAAGTTGTGGTAAGTGACGGTATTTCCTAGCAAAGCTATGAACCATCATCATTCAATCATCATTTGTTATGAATAACTTTGATGTAATGCGATAACTAGCAGTTTAACCCTTAGACTATATTTATTTGTTACATGTAACATTATTTATTCGCAAATTCAGCCACGTTTTTATCTTGCAATTGTTGTACTTTTAAAGTTTTGTTAAAAACTGTTCAAACATTGCACTTTCCCGTTTATAATATTAAACGAGATTATGCTGTGTTTAATTACTTTCTTATTCGATAACGACACTAAACGTTACGTGCATCGATAGGAGCACTCGATATTCAATGGCCTGAAACTTTTAATTGCGACGCTTGATTAAAACTACAAAGTTGGTTGTATATCAGTTTTTACAAACACCGTGATTTATTTTATTAAGTCTTTCAAGTGATGCTTGAATATAAATTAATTGCGATAAATCAAACTGTAAACATTTTCGGTAAAGGTTACGACACAGACTACGAATTTGCGACGTTGCCGATTGTACCTCCAATGCATGGGTCGTGTCTCTTGAGAACTTAGTGATTCTTTAAGAAACGTTTTTAGGCAACGACGCTGTAGTTTACGTTCTTTGATTATGTACTTGTCTAGATGGAGCAATGCTAACAAACGACTCGGTAAAACTGTCTCCAATGCGTGATATATGTGCGCACCGCTCTTTTATTTTCATTTACATGTGAGATTCAATTATATATTTTTCATGTGAGAATTTATGATCTTCGTCGAACTGTCTATATACTTAACTGAAAATTATTTAAGATCAAAATTTAAGCATAATTCATTTAGCATTGATGTCACACAATCAGTTTTTGTTTTATAATTATTTTAGTTAAATTATTTTACAATTATTTTTTGTTTTATAATTTTATATACGTTACAATATAACTAATCACACATATTGTTAAACTTCAAAACTCATAGATAAATTTTCATGTAAATTATGAATGCACGTACTTTTAATTTATGCGGGTAATAGACACATCGGTAAACATAAACTAAACATTCAATACATTCAGTACATTCCTACAGAAATTTTTGTTGCACACAGTTGAGACACTTCTGAACCAAACAGGAAGAAGCGATGCGACGAATATCTCCGTATTATATATATATATAATATCACCTGCCAATAGCGGTGTTTCCCTTGCCATAAAATGAGCCCTCCCTTGCTCTTTTGAGCCGTGATAGCTTAGTGTCCGGTTGCTCATTTTTAATGCACTCGAGTAACCCGAGTTCAGTCCCTGATTCCGACACCGATGAAATAGTTCAAGTGGTGACTTTTCACGAGCTAAATGATGTAGGAAATAATAACAAAAAAAATACTTCGAAGATATGTAATAAAGTCCACAATCCGCAGTGGGATCGCGCGGTGGAATAATACCCACTGTACAGAGAAGGCCATTGCCCAGTAGTGGGACATGTATAGGTTGTTACTTTACTTGCTCGATTGTAATCGATAATTGCAATATAAAACGATTTGCTTGACATGACTATTGGCAAAAGGAACACGATATAACAACTTGAGCATGACAATGATTCACCTTGAACCTGTCGTAAGGTTAGGTAAATCGCTTCGTCGCAAGTTGAGTGTTTATTGGTTTTTAAGATGTTTATTGATTTATTATATCTTTACTTTATTGATAAATTATCGTTAACTTAAAGACACAATATTTTTTGAGGGTTCCGTACATAAAGGGTCAAACGGGACCATATTACTAAGACTCTGCTGTCTGTCTGTCCGTCTGCCACCAGGCTATATCTCATGAACCGTGATAGTTAGACAGTTGAAATTTTCACAGATGTCGTATTTCTGTTGTCCCACTATAACAACAAATACTAAAATAAAAAACATTTAAGGGGGGCTCCGATACAACCAGGCATGATTTTTTTGCCGTTTTTATAGTTAATGCTGCGGAAACCTTCGTGCGCGAGTCCGACTCGCACTTGGCCGGGTTTTTTTATTAGCTGGAATTGAATGGCGCACGCACTAGTATTCGCGTGCCGAAGGCGAAACTCCATGCGAATAAAAACACGAGTAACGGCGAAGGTCGCGCCCGTTGGTACGCTGAAATGTCGCTAGTAGTTTGTAATGCAAACGACAAGGGTGGTAGCGCTCTATTGTTGATATCCCCTGATACCTATTTTAAATTCGTTAATTTATGAACTTCAGTCAAAACTACAGCGCACAAACAAACAAATTTAGCGACTGTTAATTCTATTTATATTTAAATCTCTGAGTGCAGCCGTAAACGTCTTAAGTATCTTGTGATGTTAAGGCTCTACAGTTAGCTAGGCAATGGATCTTAAGTTCATGATTAGAGTAAGAATATTTTTAGTATGCTGAATACTAAAAATAATCTTGCGAAAAATAGTAAAAAGTAAACCTATCAAATATGCCAAGGCAAGAGTGAAAATACATTCCATTGCCACGAGACTGGGTAGTAATAAGAAAAAAAAAATTAATGCCTTTACCGTGTCGTGTGTAATTCTGTTAAAAATATTTTTTATCTTGATGCTTCTGGAATACTTTTAAAACAAAACAATATCATAACGGCTCTCTGCATAATATGTAAATCGTTGCCTACGCAATAACATCATACGTAATCTAATATGGTGGCACCATCACGTTGCTACTTCTCTTGCAAGAATAGGTGAATCGGCAACTTCATCCGGGAAAGAGCCATTCAAGTCATCTGACGACCAAAGTACCGGGAGCGCACTCTTGCAGATTGCAAAAAAAAATGCAACCTCTCGCCCATTGTAATTTGCCATTGTGGCAATCACTTAACACTATGTTCCCTGTCGTATATAAGAAAGTATTAACCTTGGACTAAGTTGCATCGCTACTTGTGTTTACGGAAGCTCTGTGGCAAATGCTAGGACGATAAAATATGTGATTGACAGCCATCCAATAGCTTCATCATCATCACTTCATCCTCTTTGAGTCCACAGTCTGAACAGAGGCCTCGGACTGCCACAGAGCACGATCCTGAGCCACCTGCATCAATTTCTTCCTGCACATTTTCATAGGTCGTGACTTCGTCTAGTTTACCATACTTTAATTTTCCGAAAGACAATAAAACGCACTCGTAATCAAACAACTCGATGTAAATAGTATATTATACGTAGGCACCAAGCTAACTTTATTTCGCTATCACATTACGACATTAAATAAAAAACATCATTACAGATAAGCGTTGCACGATTTTTCGCTTTGTTCGCAATTGTTGATTTTGCAATGTTTGTCCTGTACTGTTTACTGCGAACGGGTGTTATTTTTAGACGCGTGTCGTATGTGCGCGTACGCACGGTGAGAACTGGTGTGGCAAAACACACTAACCCACTGCAGTTAGTGTTGCCAATATCGGTCTTGAATTCCTCCCGCACAAGCAATCAACGTTAACGGACCCGACGCAATAACGTATGTCTCTTTAAGAAAACAGATATGTTTCTTTAATCAGTATATGATATTTGAGAATATGTAGAGATCATATTTACAATGTTGCT